TCTCCGAGGTGGGAAAGGTGATTCGTCTTTAGCTCGGAACCCGCCCATATCCAAAACACAAGTTTGCCCGCATGCAGCACACCACTCCCCCCTCCCGCCAGAAGAAAAACAACAACGAAGACACGCGAGGGCCACATGCCACGCAGAGCTGCTCTGGAGCTAGCTGCTCTCGTGTACCTCTTTTGCTCTCCTCTCCGTACGACTACATACCGTACGACTCTCCCATGAAAGGCTACCAAATTGTCCTGCTATGGTTGTGTGACTATGTATTCTCCTCTCTGTTGTATGCATGCCGAAGCCGTGCCCGTAGGCGAAATTATCTCTAAATTATTATAATAGTTGGACGAAACACCACGTGATCTGGCCAGTAGGCACAATTATCTCTTATTGAGTTGGACAAAAACAACACCATGTAATTTGCATACCTGGTAGTGTTTTTTCGGATGCCCACGCCGGACGCTGGTGTTTGTGTGTGTGCGTGGCTAGACCTTGTCTACCCCTCTTTCGGCTCGTGGCAGTGGACACACGGCAGCCTAATCCTCGATCGAGTGTACCACAGCAGCGGTGAACGGGCACAACTTTGTTCTGCGAGCAACACAGCACAACGCTTACATCAGTAGCGGCTACGGTTCATAAGAGACTCAAGAGAAGAACGGATTTGGAGAGTGTTTTTGGCTTGTCCCTAATCAAGAGAAATACACATACTTCATACCAAATAGGAGCAAACCGGATTTACGAGAGTGATTTCGGGCTTGTCCCAACCATCTCTCTCTTATCGTAGACACTACTACTACTGCTGTAGGAATGCATGATCATGCCGCCGCTCCGTCGCTGCCTGATGGCCCTTCGAGTAGGTAACCTTCGAGGAGAAAGTCGCTTCGATCTACGACGTGGCCCCCAAGGTGCGCATCGCAGGCAGCGGCTTCGACGAGCTCGACGCCGCCTCCCTCAAGCTGTCCTTCGCGCCGAGAATGACGGAGGGCCAAAACTACAAGGTGGACATCCAGAGCTCCACCGTCATGGTGCTCAGGCTCCAGCCTGGCATGAAGCAAGGTCAGTAAATTTCACACAACTTCTTCACTCAGTACAACCCGTTCTGCTGACGTGGCACCACTGCCGCTGCATCCCGACTCTACAGCAGTATGCCGGCACTACTGTAGCCTGCCCTGCATAGCTGCCATATCCCCTCCTGACAGTCAGTACTTCTGGGGACTATTAATATCAGGGGTCGCCTAACCGAGTCCTCTACTCAGCTGTACATGTACGTATTGCTCCGCAAGTAAGTTTGTCGTGTCCGTCTGGTATTCTTCCCTTTTTTTTGTGAGACGTGAAGATGTTTGAAGCAAACACTCGTTTCCCCAGTCGTGCTCGCTTGGAGCAGAACAGCTCATGCAGCACTACTGCTGTGTGTATAACCGCTTGGTGTAGTGGTGGGTTTGTGTGCATGTTAATAATGTGTTGGTTGTAACAAATCTTCTAAGCTTGCGGCAGCAGTTTTGGGTATGCATTATGCACGTATGCGTACTACATGTTATTGCTGCCTAACCTATACGATTGAGTATATAGTCTACCCCCTACACAGTGGTACTACACCCGGTGACAACATGTGTAGTCCCAAACAATTTTATTACTTGGCTAGACCGTTCGGCCCAATACAGTAGTCTAGTTCGTATCTTCGAAGACTTTCTAGCGGCCAGGGTCAGAGTCAGGGGTTCGAATCCCGGCTTGAGCGAGCTTTTCTTGCAAAGTGAGTCTTTCTCTCGCTTCCGTTCCTGGCCTGGGTGGAAAGTGTAGTTAGTTCGTGTGTACACAAAGGCAACGTACCGCAGGAGGTGCGGGTAGGGGACCTCAGGGAGAGGAACTCTTCTGTGAAGTCTAGGCAACAGAAAATGAACAAGTCCCTGTCTGTCCAGGAGATATACTCCTGTCGCAGTTGGGAGGCCAAGGGCTCTGGAACATACATTTTGATGGATACAAGGATACCGTATTCTACACAAGATACCACACCCCGGTGATAACATTTTGGGCTTCAAAAATATTATCACCGGGTGTGGTATTGTGGGGGGTGTGTGGTATCTTGTGTACCCCGGTGATAAAGCCTAGCTCGCAGGAGCTCCTCAGGGNATACGTCGGAACACCCAAAGAGTGTGTTCGGGTGTGTGATAAACAGGGGGTGTG